GATGTTGGTCCAATTTTTGAATTTTACTTTGGCATGTTGTGCCTACTTTCATGTTCTAGACTCTGAAAAAGAAAGAGCAAAACGTTCCGAAACGAAATTTGTAAAGAATAAAAGCTGACAAAACATCTACGTAGTTCTTTGAATAATCCTACACCATCGCTAATATTTGGAAATATAGATAGAGATAACATTTATTGTTTATTATTTATTTTTTTATTTATAAGCTATTTTTTAATTAATTTATTATTTAACGCAAAAGATGGAGAAAATTTGAACGTAGTTCTTTTTGTCTGAATAATTCCACCCTACACCATCGCAAATATTTGGAAATTTAGTTAGAGATAACTTTTTTTAAATTTATAAGCTATTTTTTAATTAATTTATTATTTAATGCAAAAGATGGATAAAATTTACTCTTTCAAAAAAATTGTCGTAATATCTTTTTTCCAAAGATAGTTCCGGCGCTCATCACTGTAAGGTAAATGTCCCGGGTTCGAATCCAGCGGCCCTGCATTCGAACCCGACATACTAACAAATGTTTTTTTTCCCAAAAAAACACCGGCAAGATATGTCCTCTGCAGTTGCGAACCCTCGTTTAAAAAAATTGTAATAATGCGAAAACCCTTTTCATTCACCCTTATCCTCTATTTCTACGAGATGAAAGTTGCCGTTCCAAATAAATTTTGAATATCGGTTGAAATAGCAAATTACCGAAATTATCAATCGCTAATAAAAGTAAATTCTTTGAGAATTTTTTTGACTCTACCACGACGTTAAGGTCAGTTCAAGATGAAGAAAAACATGAAATACCAAACTATTAGTGATGTTAATGAACGCTCAACAGACTTTACTACTTTGCACGACGAGATTCCCGAAATTCACATTGTCACGTTCAAGAAAGGTCCTGTAATTCCCGTCGGCTTGTTAACGTGAACTGAGGCAATTTAAGAACGCAAGCAATCAGTCACTGTCGGTCAAGTTATTATACTCTGATGCGCACCGCACCTCTCATGACTCTATGCCTCTTGATCCTCACTTGTCACAATTCCAATTGTAATTCCAAATCGGAATGAGTTTAGAGTTTCAGATCGAAAGCGTTCCGCTCCCATAACGAGAGGATCCAGAGTTAAAATCTGCTTGGCGCATTCCCAATCTCGCGATAAGACTCAGTAAAACAATATGGAAGTAAACAAAATTCTTGAGACGTGTTTATCATTGCTGTTTCGCCAGAATTGATATATATAACTTGTTCATTCATTTTTAATTACTGCGCCGTTGAAATTGCTTGAAATGCTCCCCGAAGAGGTCTTGTGATCCATTGTTTCTACTTGTATTGTGTTGCGCTTCAGCTGAGAAAATTGAAAATACGATTTAATTTCCTTATTTGCATACCGCTGTAAGTCGTAGAGAAAGACTTTACAATTAAGCCGAACAGACTCCACAAATCATCGTTTAGCACACAGCTCCTACTGTTTAAATCTCTGAATACATTTCCAATCTGAACTGTCGACAAGAAATAAGGACGATTTAATAGATCCAATTGAAATTTTAACATCTTACTGTGCCTTAACTATGGAATGTTCGGTTAATTTATTGTTGACGGTTTTGTTTTCGTCGTATTTTATTTCAACGGAGGCGTGCTAACACATTAATGTAGCTTTACTGTGAACCAAGTTTGCATATTTCGTCCCTTTGTAATACTGGAACAAAGCTGATGAATTCATGACAAAGATATTGCCCATTTCAAGTGTACATCTTGAAACAACTTCTTAATTGTAAGGCTATAAAAATACTACTGGTTTCCTTGTAAGCCTATTCTAGCCCGTTTCGCCTCGAGAGAATGTTTGTTTGTTATCGTTTGTCTTTTTTTCTTTTTTTTTAGTTCCTGTGAAATTTAAACAAGCCTTAAAAATCCTTTAATCGATTGTAACGATATAAAGATTTAAATAGTACTGCAAAGGTCACCAAGTAATCAGGTTATAATGCGACGCCCTCTATGTAGAGCGAGACTAGGCCTTGTTAAGGCGAACAAATGACTAGCTCAAATTAAACCGTTTTCTAAGTTAAAACCATCTAGTTAATTTAAAGTTTTAAAAATATTTTTATGTTTAACTGTAGAGAGAATTGGGTGAAAATGGTTTGGAGTTGTGCTACACTTTACATCAAACACCCGTTAAAAGGTTTAGTGTCTAGATGTCAAGCAAAGGGCCACGATAAAAAATCTTTTTAGATCTTCAAAGATAGCAATGTTTGAAAAGGTGGAAAATATTGTCAGACCGATTGTAAGTTTATCTCAATCTCGTTCAAGTGTTCCTTTCAAGATAATGGCCACATAAATTTCTGTAAATTCAGTCTTACAATTGAAGTCGAATAATAACATAACAACCCATGATCTAGAATTGGGAGTGTTTTCGCCATTGTTCCAAGCAAGCAGACCGCATGATATCTCGACCCGGTTATTACAATAGACGGGCGTAGGCCGCGAAACGTCAACCAGTCGAACATTCGGCCATAAATCAAAGATTCCGAGATTGGCCGAGATAGGAAGGTGTGTTTCCTTTGCCATCAGTAACGGTTGAAGATGGCCTGCAACAATCGATGTCAGCGTAGAGCCAGTAATAAAATTTGTTAGCAGTTGCAGATAAGGTGATCGAGGTGAATTCCGGGCGGAAACCGGTCGACCTTGATGCAGAGAGCAAGAGGTTTCTTCTTCAAATTCAAAACCACTTCTGCTGCTGATCTGCATATTCTAAAAACATATAATAACACTAGAGGCTAATTCACTAGAATGAAACTGTAAAATTATATCGACAATTATATTTTGGCTAGAAAAAACACAATTAAATCACTTCACGCCCCTTGTGCAATATTTAGCCTTGTTTATTCTACATAATTTTAAAAAAAACACATTCTCCCTGCTTGCCGGATTATGGATTAAGCCAATAGCGTGTTCAATAGGCGTTCGGATTTAGAGATAATTTGTCATTAGAATTGATCCATTGATTATTCTAGCCACCTTCTCAACAGGAAATGTCGATGTTTTAATAAATTATAGTACTCTGTTAATCTACTGACCGATTAAAGTTGTCTGGAGTATCTTCTAGATTGACTGATTATACAGAAGTATGAAAGAAAACGTACTTTTGTCATTTCTTCGTGAGAATGCGATTATTTTGTTTTTTCCTGTTATTAATATAACAATATTTGCATTTACTTTATTTACTATAGTTTCAACGTATCTCTGTCATTTTTACGTTAGACCCTTACGTGAAAAAAATATTACTTTTATCTCTACCGATTTTTAAGATGCAGGGTGTGATAAAAAATTTGGATGGGTCTTGCACGCGTCTGATCAGTTTAGAACCTTTCTACTTTCAGTCCAATCTAATTCTAACCCTGGTTGAATTAGTTACAAGATTTGTTTATAATATCTTTGGAAAAAAATAATAATAAGTTTATTATTAGAAATAGCATTTTAAATATTTTTGTCATCAAAATTCAGTTGTACTGTATTTGTTGTTCTGTAAACCTATATTTAGTCGGTTTTTCGTTTAATTCATTAAGTTTTAAAGAACTACTATTTTCTTCCTCACTATTTCAGATCATAGAGATTTTTTTATTTAGTTTCGATTTTTATTAACTGCACAATAAATTCAAAATAAACAATTAGGATTCAAATGATAATATTGTTTTATATCTTAGTTTTTTATGGTTTTCTAGCACTTTTTTTTAACAACAATTAAACAAATGTGACAATCTAACAAAGAAAAAAGCATGTCGCAATATGTTTCGGAGATCACCAATCTCCTCCATCAGTCAACCTACTTTTGTTTTGGTAAACACCTTGTACATTCAATTCTCCGTCCTCAATATCCTAAAAACCAACAGTTTAACTGTTACAGACAACTTTTTATCTATTCATTTCACAAAAACTATTTATTTTAAACAACTTTTATACTTTTTGACAATATTCAAGAATACTCAATCAAATTTTAATAAGTTATACAGTTGTTAAACGAAATAAAATGCTAGAAAACCAAACAAAAATTATTTAAATAAATACTGTAACACAACATAAATCAAAAACAGTTTATTGGTAACATTTCGTATAAGTTTAATCATATTTTATCTTGGGATATATATATTCAGTCCAACAAAGCCACACAGTTTCAAATTCAATTCAAAACATACAGTATGTAATAAGAACCATATTGACTATGGTCATCAATATACCTAATTAAATTTTTATTATTATCAGTCTTTAATATTATTATTTTATATTTAACAAAGATCAGGGATAAGGCCGATTAGGAAGAAAACAGTTCCTTCAGCCGACCTTTGGAGAAATATATCCACTTCATCAAGCTCGGCGAAGGAACTAAGAGTTTTCTTTCCAATTGGTCTTATCCTCGATCTTCCTAATATAAAATGAAAGATTAATTGTATTATTAATAAGGTGTTTATCGGTTTTGGTTCCTATAGAAAGGTCAGATATTTAAAAGAATGTCCGAGGTAGAAAATAAACTATTATACATACGTTTAAAAATTCTTGGTTTAATTTATCTTTGGTTATAGCAGATTTGTACAATTGTAATTCTTCAAAGCTTAATTTGTTATTGTGTTTAAGTAAGCAGAGACGTAAACAATGTGTTCAAAGAAATAAGTCGTTTAAAGAGATAAGCGATTCCAAAGCTTTTGTCGCAGCTTTCCCTTAACTATCTTCTTTCCCTAGTGCTTTTAGACGTGAGTATAGGCCTATTGATGAAAATCTATCGCACCGACACTTTTATCTTAAAGGGTGTAGTCTCATCCAACGTTGGTGGACGAGTGGGGAGGTATGGTGGGGACATAGTAGTGGGAGCACCCTTAGGCTTAAGTCCAAACCTGTCAGTTCTTAGTGTCCCGCGGTTTGCGTCAGTCGGCTGGAACAAAAACATTTTGTTGAAAAGAAAAAATCAGACTTGGTTTTATTTTTTTCTTCGTTTCTTGTGTTGCCACAGATGCTGAGGTGACTCACACGTACGGGCCCCTCGACGGCTCTCTCTACGCAACGGTCGCCAAAAAGGAGGAGGTGATCGCCAGCCCTCATACAGTGTCAATGGACAGTGGCATCTCATCCGCCGGTAACGGACTAGCCTCACAGGGACCCTGCTTAGACCAACATCGAGAATTGGACAAGCTGCTTTCGGAAATGCTCATGACAGTCAGAGACATTGAGGAAGTCCCGTACCACGCGAGGACGGACAGCCGTCCCTTCAGCTACGGCCTCGCGAGCCCGCGTCTCGTCAGGAAGCTCAGTAACGACAGACCTTCGCCCGTTTTCCACGAGGGGTAAGTAACATCATTTCAACTTTTCCTTACAAAATAACAGAACAGCTTTTTTTCCCCGGATTCATGAATTATTAATTTTCTCGAGCTTTAATTATAACCGCTCTCCACAAGGTGGAATTCATATTAACACGTGATTTGTGAGGCCGCCAAACGCAGACTTGTTATTTTTACATGTTTTCATTACGTTTTACTTGTAGCCAACAGATCGGAATAACAGTCATTAATGCCCTGTTAAAAATGAAGAACGGTGACAGTGCAAGTTTCTTCTCAAAACAAATTGCATTTTAATTATACTGAAGTATCCACAATGCACGTAGATGCATCTCGTTATATTTCGTCACTTAAAATGGATTACATAGTGGGTTTTTGTACCGATTCTACTTTTTTCTTTTTTTCCTAAGTTAGGAAATTTCTTTTACCGCCGTGGGATTCAAATGAGCTCCTGCTTTGTGAGCTGTGTCAGCACTTTTAAAACGACAAAAGTCGTCCTTTTTGTTTTTTAACGAGTCCTGTTTTTCACTTATGTCCGTAAACGCTGGTACGCAAGAACTTTGACGTGGTACACTCTGCGGTTGTCCACAATTAAAACATTTTATTTTTTTCTATTTTAACCGCTCTAGAGAATGGGAAACGTTTAAATTAAACACGACTTCTACCATTTTGTCTGCTTAAAAATACATAAACTTGTAGAGGAAAGAGGCAGAACAATAAGATTTTGTATTTTTAATTACAATTAATTAAGGTTTTTAGTTGAGATAAAAAAGTCAATGGCACGAGCGGGATTCGAACCCACGATCTTCGGCTAGATACGCCGCTGCTCTACCACTTGAACTATCGTGACCTCCATCCACTTGGACACTAACTTCCCATCTCAACCCCACCTTTTGAATTTTCCCTCCTTTTTGCCATTTTTCAATTGACTTTTTTATCTCAACTAAAAACCTTAATTAAATGTAATATATTAATTGGTCAAGCGGACCACGAAATTGGTGATTTTATATTTTTAATATTAATCTGTAGCCCATATAGGTGTACAATAATAAGCGAAAAATCTTAACTTCTGTCGTGTTAATTTTTTATTGTTATTTTATTTTAAGAGAGGTTTTAAAAATTGTTTTGAATCTTTCTTAATCTACCTTCAAATACATATATCTTTTAAATTACTAAATGGATTGTTAATTTTATTTTATGTGTATGTTTCATGTCGTTATATTTCATGTGCTCTTCTCTGTTAGTTATTTTTGACTATTGAATACAGCAGTTTTGCAGTTTTGTAAATAATAAAATACACAAAATACTTCTTAGAATCGACAGATGTCTTAATTATTTTAAAGACATAAAATATAATTTAAATAATTAAATCACTGCTAAAATTTAAGCATCGGTGCAAGAAATTTTCGTTTTTCATAGCCTGGAGACATTTAAGAAGTGTGAACTTTTTGTGAAACGCCTCTGCTGACAAAACGTCCAAGTGGTATTCATTATGGAAACGAAAAGATGATATCCTTTTAAAGCTGATAGGGAAATCGCCAAACCGGATTTGGAGGATATGCCTAAAGAGTTTTAAGTCGAATTATAAACCTGTCAAATATTTCATGCTTTGGCCAGCACACTTTCGTGGGTAACATTTCTTTCGAAAAAATAATTCCTTATGGAATTATTTTCATAATCTACTTATGATTTATTGTGCCCTATGGGGAATAAGATAAATAAAGATTCTTATTTGTTACTTAATCCGATTTACGTTTGATATAAAAACGAATGTTATAACAGTATCAGTATATAGATAAATATAAACGCTCTAAGTTGTCTTGAAGTGGAAAAAATGGACTAAGTATAGATGTTACTAATTCTGATCCAGGACCCTCCTACGTGCAATGGCGACTTCCTAAGTTCGAAACCGTATCTGTGTCAACTTGCACTAATAACTGTCTTTAGGAAGAGTGAAAACGCCGAGGGAAAAGTGATCATGTCTATTACATAAATTCATATTGCGGTTTTTAGCGTCCACTCTGCAACTGGTGAACACGCTGGAAAAAATACGATGACTCCTCGTGGGCATGATCTTTAAAAAGCAATAAGGACACTGAGATCGCCCTAATTCCAAATAGGACCGTTGATATTTAAGGCGATCGATCGTTTTAAGGTCTTTACCCTCATTATGAAAACACGCGTAAGGCCCGAACCTTTTTTGTTGTGTTTAAGATTCGTCAAACATATAGATTATAGATGAAAAAATTGGCTTATTAAAAAATTTAGGTAGTAATCATGTTTCATTAGTAGTAGGAATAGAATTTTTGCCTACTATGTACGTTATCGTACAATTTGCATTTTATGTACAACTACCCACAAAAATTTCTAGCTCCAGGTTAGCCTACATCCGCCTCCCCGTCGTGTTTTGCAATACTATATATACACTGAGCCTTCTACCTACAAACGAGACCTTCAACAGAGACCAGCTCTGTGAGAGGACATGCACGCAAATAAAAATATCCCACACAGGCGCGCATATATGCACACACAACCACAAGCGTACGCATTCTTTTAAGCTTATCCCTATCTATATAAGCTAGCTTTGAATACTTTGCAAAAATCGGTTTCTCATTAATCCCTTTACACATTTCACGTGTACAGTCAACTTTTTAAACAAAGTAATCTTATAGTGTTTTGGTCGGTTTTTTCATATTTCCACTAATATTCAAATTAATTACTTTTTTATTATATATGTGCTTCTACTACTTGAGTGTTAGTAGTCTGTAAAATAACTGTAAATTGTCTAAAAAATGAGTCATATACTGAACCCTTTCTTTCTAACAGCAAGTTCACTGGCATAAACCAATAAAATTTAAACATAGAAAGACTTTGAAGAATTTCAAAAATCACTACGCTGTGGCAAAACTTTTTACGGATTGGCGAATTTAAGAAAAATTAATTAATCTAATCAAAATTCGGATGGTATGGTACGATCGGTACATTCTTTTTTCGATGAGTATGGTAGATAAAACCCTTCAAAAGTTGTGTATCGTGGAAAAGCTATTATCGGCTTAAAAAGTGCATAGGTAGCGGAGAATTTTCTTGGCAAGTCTGTTTTTCCGGAAAAAGTAACAATTGTAGCTACTATAAGGAGGAGTTGGAGGAGTTAGAATTCTTTTATTTTTTAATTTTATTTACGTTTATAACCCAATTTTTTTCTCATACTTAATCACTCTGTATAGCCCAATTTTTTCCTAAAAAATCTCCTTTGACTTACATCTTTCCAATGTTAACATTGAATAAAAAAAACTTCCAAATTTTTTTGAAGCTAGAATACATGACAATTTATGATTAAGGAAAAAACCTTAACATTACCAACATAAGTTACCAAATATAATTATTTATAAACAATACAATGAACTTCAAAAAAATGGAAAATAATTTTTAGATAACTCAGAATAAAATTAACTAAACGAGTTGTTTTTTACGTGGAATTTCATAATTTATGAATAAGGAAAATATTGTACCTTGGCATACATAGGTGAGGCTGAGGATGAGGAGGCGCGGTCTCGGAAACGTTTCAAATAAATTATTTTTAAAAAAACATGGTTATTAAAGTTCAACAAAGCCTACTTCTTACTGAATCAAAAACAAACCAAGGAAAAATATTTTAAAAAGTAAATACATTCTTTCCTGTATAGCATTCTCTCGAGTAGGGTGGTGGAGTACTCTATATTTCACCAACCACATTCTACACATTCACGCCAATCAATACATTCAACTTCAATGTACACAAAATGTATATAAAACGTAAATAAAAATATCTGTCAGTACTATACTGAGAGGCAAAAAGGTGGCCACTTTTAATATTTTTAATTAACTGTTAGACGTCCATCGATGATCTTACAACAATATTTGGCCCGTTTTAACCGTTAAACGACGTGCGAGAAGGCTAGCCACTGGCCCAGAACTTCTGACAAGCCACAGAACAGCTCGGTTAAGTTTTACAAGAAATCACATCAATTGGTCTGAACAAGGTCGGACTAAAATCGTGTTTTTGGATGAGTTAAGGTTTTCTCGAAGAAAACCAATTCTGACTACCGAGAGAGGGTTTGGATAAGAAAGGAGAGTGATAATATTTTCACTCCGGAGAAGCTACGGAGGTGGTTGTTACGGTTTGGGCAGGCATTTGTATGGAAGGTCGTACTAACCTGATCTTCATCGAGGGGTCCCTATCAGCTGGGCGATACATTGGAGACATGTACGATACATTTTTGTTAAAATTGTTTTACTTTTTTTATTTCATTCATCACGATAGCTCAAGTGGTTAGAGAAGCGGTGTATTGAGCCGAAAGTCGTGGGTTCGAATCCCGCTCGTGACACTAACTTTTTCATGTTATCTAAGGTTTTAGACAAAAAAGATAATTAATTGAAATTGATAAAGCTGATTGATATTCCACGGCGTTTTTTAGGATTAAAAACATAATTATTTATGGGCAAAGAAAAGAATTACATTGACATTGATCTACAACAAAATAAATTTTCTCTTATCGTCTCCTTTGGCAAATATATTAAGTTGTTTTTATAAGAATATATTTTTGGATAGATATTAATTTATGTGATAAGAAAATGTTCCTTGACATCTTTAGGTCTGTTATAAATGTGAATAAAATTGTAACTATCTGTTTAGATTGATTATAATTTTAAAAAAATTTGTCCTCTGATAAATAATAATTTATGTAAAAAGGATAAGATTAACTTAATATTCTTTGTTGAGTTACCAAATGTTATGAATAAGCAAAAAAGTGGATTACGGGATAAGTACGAATGTTTGAATGTGTAATAAATAATAGTTTATGAGTAAGGAATACAATTATCTTGACATACTTCTGTAGTTATCAAACTATGAATTTACACATGTAATATCCTAAATATTCTTAAGGATAACGTAATAAATCCGACCACTATTGTATTTTTTAATTGGCTATTGCAGATTTATTTTACGGTGGCTAAGAATAAAAAGTAAT